CAACCAAGGTGCAATTTTAATAAATTTTCTCAGAACAGGTTTTTTCTCTGTACATAAGTTTATTTTTTCTGTTAGAATTTCAATGAAGACTCTTGTTGCAATTTGTGGATCAACCTCGTTGTACACCGGATCCCAGCAGATATGTTGAAATGTATGAATTATTTTTTTGGTGTCAATATGGTTTGTAAATCTAAAGCTATCTGTAACTTTTTTTTCCTTATTTTCATTTAGAACAATTTGTAGGATGGTGGTATAGTGATCAGTGATGGTTGATTTTAGCACTATTGGGATAGTATTTTCGAGATTGTTATTATTAGTCTTGAGGAATATGTGATCTAAACACGTACTGCAATCACCCTGTACCCTGGTTGGTTCATTTATGGTAGAGATAAAGCCAAATTCATTGAGTATATTCTGGTATTCTGCTGTTTGGTTCACATTCGGTTTCAGTAAATCAATATTTATGTCTCCTAGAAATAAATTGTAGTCGCACTCAATATTTTGTTTATCAAGGAATTCTTCTAGACCAACATTAAAATCTTGAACGTCGGTGTTTGGTGATCTATATAAGGTGGAAACTCGTACTACACTTTTATTTCTTGTAGTTATATCTATGTTCAAAACTTTCATATTGTTCTTGATAGTTGTTATTTTATATTCATATTTCAGATAAGATTTTATATAAGCAACAACACCGTCGTTCTGATTCAACTTGCTTCCATTGTAAATAATATCATATCCTTCAATGCCATAGATACTCAAATCAAGTATTTCTCTAGTCTCACTCAAAATTACACAATCTATAGTAAAATTCAAATTTTGCATCATAATCAAAAACTCATCAATATCATGACGAAAGTATGTCCGAAATGATAGAAACAAATAAATCGCTGTGCCGTGGATTCGCCTCAGACTGGGGGATGACACAGGTAGATTTTTGAGATCTACCATTCAATTTATATCGGATGGCATAATTCTTATCTCTTTATCAAATCGCGAAATCGAGTGCAAATTTCCGCACAGGAAAATGCAATTTTTTCAATCATTTTGCTCGGGATAGTTATTGGTACAGATGCCGTTCGATGGACTATAATGTTTTTACTTTCCTTTGGGACATATATCATTTCGTTATCAGATGACGCTAGAAATCTTAAGCCGGCTCTCCTTCTATGAGTCTAAAAGTAACAAAGATACGGGAGTGAGAATTCTCATTTTGCCCTGTATCTCAAAAAAAAAGTATGGCAGTGATGTGGATATACCGCAACACTTCATCTCCAAAGCATCGAAACCTGGACACGCTGTAAATTGTTTTACTGGAGTAAATGTAGAGCCTTTCCAATAGGTCAGGTTAGGTTAGGTCTAGTCTGTGAATTGTTAATTTCTGAAAATCTCCATACTTCCGACATGAGATGAAGTAATAACAGTATTTTCTTTTGGTCTTCCCGATCTAATATGTCTCATATTTAGTCTACCAAATCGTAACGTTAGAAGGTAACGGTGAAAATAAACATATCAGTATTTTTTCTGCTGGAAATCATTATTATACCCAGTCAAGCACACACTAATAATAGTATAGGCCATTGATTGAATTAATCCACGGTATAGAATTTTGCCTTTCGCGAGAATACGGCCGGAAAATTGTAGAAAAAAAACTGTGAAAAATTATGGCTATCAGATCCGGCATCGACTCGAAGGGTACTTATTCAATATTCAGTAGAAAACCTATTGAGCATGAAATACGAAATATAGATTTTGCTAGATTATTACTTTTATCTACAACTATGGAGTCATTCATGCATTGCTAACTCGATTTTCAACATTTAATGACACACATTATTCTGATGAATCGAGTAATAAGAGTAATAATGACAGTAAGGTGGCGTAATATTCTGACATCCCATCGTCTTGTCAAATTCAAATATAGGAGAAGAGACATCAGAGGAATCAAGAATCTAGCATCTAGCCATTTCTGGGTTTTACTAAAAGCAGAATACAACCGTTTGTGAAATTCACGCAATTTTAACAGACACCTTCTTACCTGACTTAAGTTTCTATACTTAGTTTCAATGTTTCAATCGGTTCTGGTTCTGTACAAATAAGAATAGCAAGAATTCATTATTTATTTCAACCATATGAGAAAAGAGTTGAAAAATTCTTGAAACTGGGGTTAGGGGTTAGGTTATGGGTGCAAGAGAGAAGAATCAGCTGATGTAGCGTTGGATGTAGCGAGCGAGCATTGTTCACCTTTCGTTCCGAACAACTCCGAATAGTCCGAATGTTCCGTCTCGTTCTCTACTACCAACCTCACCATGCACAAAACACAATACAAACGTATTGTTGGTTGCATAGTAGCATACCTATATCAGAGATAAATTACCCACTTATCTCTATGTTATCTGCATTAATAGGACATTTTGCGTAGATTTTATTGTATTACATTAATTTTTAGCAATAATATAACATTTCGCAAACTATTTCAACAAAATGGCAGGATACCTAAATACAGTTGACAACACTGATTCATTGATGCGTGCGCATGACTTTTTCGCTACGTCAGATTTTCAAATTAATTCAAATGTTTGAATTTGCTTTTGTTTAACAACGCATTGAACAGTCAGGTAGTATTCTTTTACTGTTTTTTTTCAATCAATTATCCATTCAAGTTGAATATATTATGTCAGCTGAACAACAGGAGTTGTCTTGTACGCCGCCTGAAATAACGAAATTAGCGACCAGTGCTACAGAAAATTTACTGCCGAGCAAATCTAAGGGTAAATACGATGCTGCATACAAAAACTTTATGGATTGGCAATCGACACAGAAAACGAATTCGTTCTCTGAAAATGTAATTCTTGTATATTTTGCTGAACTCGCAAAGAAGTATCAGTCATCTTCACTATGGGCTTTCTATTCGATGCTGAAAAGTACATTGAATATTTATCATAATATTCAGATTAATAGATACATGAAACTACAGGCATTTTTGAAACGCCAATCTGAGGGCCATCGGCCAAAGAAAGCTAAAACGTTCAGTCCAGAAGAAGTGAATAAATTCATGAGAGAAGCACCTGATCAAAATTTTCTTCTGACGAAGGTATGTATTCCTGAAGTAGATTCCTACCTGTTTCTGACCATTAACTATTTTTAAGGTGACATTAATCATGGGACTAATGGGAGCTTGCCGCTGTAATGAGTTACATTCTATGAAAATTGGTGATATACAAGATTACAATGGAGCTCTTATCGTGAACATACCATTTACGAAAACGAAAACATCAAGGTCGTTCACTGTATCAGGTGAATTTTACGATATTTGCAAGAAATATATAGATCTTCGTCCGCCTCATGCTGAATGTTCTTCTTTATTTTTGAATTACCAGAATGGTAAATGTACCGTTCAAAAAGTCGGAATCAATAAACTAGCTTCTATAGGAAAGCAAATTGCTTCGTTTTTGAAACTGAAGAACCCTGAACTATACACTGGCCATTGCCTCCGAAGGTCCTCTGCTACCATTTGTGTGAGCGGAGGTGGTGACATCACAGCTGTCAAAAAAATTGGGGGATGGAAGTCTACCTCAGTCGCTGAAGGCTATATTGATGATGATTTGAACACTAAGTTGGACAGAGGAAATAAAATCATGAAAGAAATAAAAAGAAATGATGGGTCATCCACTATTACAACCTCCAACAATGCTATGAATAAAGATATGGAGAAAAATGAAGGATTATTCACTATTACAAGCTCAAACAATATTAATAAGACTGAAACAAATACTACCATCACCAAAAATTATGATTTGTCTGAGAGTGCAACTCCAGGAATTAATTTCAACAGTAATGTCGATAATGTCATAATCAATTATTATGTAACTAAAAGTTAGGCGTAGCAATGTTCGTCAGATATTTCTCGATCAGTTGTTCAGTTTCATCGGTTTCATATTGATTCAACAATGTTCAATTCCACTATTTGTATAAAAATGTTAATAAATACCTATTCGATTTTCAATATCACCTTATATCTTTTTCAAACTATGCAAATTTATATAGTTGTAGATAAAGTATAGTATTCTACTCGCGCATAATGACTATTACCCACTCAGATGATTACAGCACTCGCCTTCGGCTCGTACTGCAATTTTCAGTGGGTGACTGATCTCTGGTAATAGTTACCATTATGCGCTTGTTGAATAATATACTATTTTCCACGGAAAAAAGTGAGTACCATAAGCCAATAACGCCTTTTCCGAGAAAGAACTGCAAGGCCATTTATCTTCCATTCCCCTTCGCGGTTACGTAACAACCACAATTTCGCAATATTTCCAAACCAAATCACAGAATTAGGCTGACAGATATTCAATTACTTCGAAAGAATTATAATGCATCCAAAAAGATGCCTGCAACGCTGGTGTAATTCCCGTCAAAATCTTCAAATTTCACGTCGATAGTTTTCTGCTTTGATTATAATGTAATATCTTCTCAATATTGATTCGTCCTCTATTCGGTCACATAGAAAAATAGTGCACCATACACGGGAAAAATATTATGTTTCAGCTCACACAAAATCTACTATTTTTCCCTTGTATAATAATTAACTATTGTTCTTTACCTTTCATGATTCATGTGATTTTCACGCATCTACGATCGTCATCAAAAAATGAAATTTGACTCATTGTTAGTAATTCGCTTGATTTATTTAACGAAACAATACAATTGCGTGCAAAAAATTCTTCAAATTTTAACACATGGTAGTAGATCGGTAACGAAGCGTTTGCATACACATGTTGGAAGAAAAACACTCTTATTTTGACCTGACGAATGAAACCATGTAGTCTCAATACAGAATTTTGAAACACCATGTTTATGTAGCTACAAATCACAAATCACAACTAAGCACGAAGTAATAGTACTTACAGTTACGACGGCGACGGCCCTGTGCCTGTCAAGATTACGTCTGCCGATTTGTAGACAGAAAGAAATGTTAAATTACAAGGTTTACTTACAAACTACCGGCGAATCCGGCCGCCTTGTTTTCGATTACGGTCGGCTCAGGCGGCTTACACATTATTATCAACTCTTGATCTGACTGCATCACCACGCCCGGGAATTGCGGAAACCACACCCGCACATGAACAAAACCCTGAAAAAAAACGATAGCTGTGTGTGTCCGTAAAGTATGGAACATATTCATTTTTACCTAAACAGGTCATTTTGAGAAATAATCCTGAATCACGTCGATTTTTTATGTTAATTTACCGTATTTTAAAATAATAATCTAATATAACATGGTGAATTACGTTCGAGTAATGACGTCACCGTCATTTTTTTTAAATGGAACACCCCCATTTTGTCTCAATTTTCGGATTACTCTAGCTGAGCTGATTCCAAAAATGTATCACATGTTGATTCCAATTGGTACAGGGTGGACAAAAATACAATAGTTTTATGTGTGCTCATGAAGTAACGCGTGAAATTCTTTATTAGGTAAATTATAGTTATTTATGCAACAAGTGCAAAAAGTGAATGTTTATTGCACTCGACGTGAAATTGTCCGACGAGGCCGACAGGCCGAGTTGGACAACACGTCCAGTGCACGAGTTGCATACAACATTTTCCCTACGTTCATGCAAAAAGCAAAAAATGATTTATTGAGGTACGGCACTAGGTACAATTCTGTTAATTGTCAGAATTAATTTTTGACTGACGTTTCTATGACCACAGTTGCAATATAAAAAATGTTCGTCATGATGACAGCACGTTGAAGTAGAATGACAGATCAGTGCAATAAAAACTTTATTGCACTTAGTGCAATAAAGAACTTCTTTCTCCACTAAATATAGTTCAATAAAGTACTGCTTTTTGCATGAATGTACAAAAACAATATTATCAAAAATTCTTATTGTCTGGCGGACAGAATATGCTGGAATACATGACTTTATAAATGTTCGAACTGCAGCCCTTGCTGTATTTGACAGTAACCCAAACGCTTTACAAAATCTTGTTGAACCTTGTGTATGGTTTCTTGCGTAATATTGTTTATTTCTGTTCGAATTTTCTCTTGTTCATCTTCAATATTTGCTGGTTTCGTTTTATAAATTACATTCTTCAGATGGCCTCACAGAAAATAATCCAAAGGATTCAAATCTGGTGACCTCGCTGGCCATTCAGTGGGTCCACATCTACAGCATAATGTGGAGGTGCACCATCCTGTTGAAACCATAAACTTTCATCAAAACCTCCAGTATTACGTCTGCTGGGAAACAAATTACGTAAAGTAGGTACGAGATACCCCCTTAAAAACTCAAGGTACGTTGCCCCGTTTAAATTACCTTCGATAAAGTAGGGTCCGATGATTCGATTTCGTACAATTCCAGCCCATACATTTACCTTTTGAGGGTATTGTGTATGATGCTCACGCATCCAGTGGGGGTTTTCTTTTGCCCAGTATCTACAATTCTGACGGTTAACCTCACCATTTAACGTGAAAGTGGACTCATCAGAAAAAATAATGTTTTGTATCAAGAGAGGGTCTCAGTGACATTTATCATTTCTTCGCAAAATTGGATTCTTCTATCGGGATCATCTTCGTTTAATTCTTGCACAAGTTTGATTTTATAAGGATGCCATTTTTCAAGCTTCAATAGTTTGTGTACCGTTGTTTTGCTAACACCGATATCGCGACTAACTTTACGAACAGAAGTGTGCGCATCTTCTTCAAAACTCAGTAAAATATCTAATGCTGTATCGGCATATTTTCAACCGTACCAATTTCTCGAAATTTCGTTTCAATCTTACTGACTGTTGAACGCGTTATAGGTCTTTCTGGATATTTATCATTAAACAAATTGCACACTTCCATCTGAGTTCGCGATCTGTCTCCATACCAATCATCATAAGTATTTCAATTCTTTGTTTTACACTTAACTCCATTTCTACTTCCAATTGAATCTAAGCAATCATTCGAATATTCACGAATACCAAAAATATTGTAGTACCAAACTGTCACTGAACATCAATATATTACTAAACAAATAATGACATTTCACAAAAAACTAGACGACTATGTTTTTTATAAATAGATAAGAAATATTTCCTTTCATATTCTGTCTGCTAGACCACAAGTACCAAACATGTTCGGAAACAGCTCATTTTTATTACTCTAAACATGTAGCAAACTACGGGGTGTTACATTTAAACCAATTGCCGCTAGACAATAAGTATTTTTGATAATATTGTTAATTTACCTATTAAAGAATGTTACGCGTTACTTTATGAGCACACACAAAACTATTGTATTTTTGTCCACCCTGTACCAATTGGAATCAACATGTGATACATTTTTGGAATCAGCTCAGCTAGAGTAATCCGAAAATTGAGACAAAATGGGGGTGTTCCATTTAAAAAAAAAATGACGGTGACGTCATTACTCGTACGTAATTCACCCTGTATATTAGTTTATTTTTTCAAAATACGGTAAATTAACATCAAAAATCGACGTGTTTCAGGATTATTTCTTGAAATGACCTGTTTAGCTAAAAATGAATTTGTTCCATACTTTACGGACACACTGTATGTAATTAATGTGTTAATGCGTTGTTCAAAGTTGTTGAATTTCAGAGCTCATTTCAAACGTGCCACTATTCGGCGATACGTCGAATTAATGGTAACGTCAGCTCTCATGGTGTTTCGTTATTGGTCAAATAATCTTCCATTCCCACTCATGAAGCAAGGATGTCAAGTCACCAATTATAATCTAGTTATCAAATGATATTACAACATCGACAACATGACAAAGCACCGCCCACAATTCGTGCGCCGTGTTGTCACGTTCACCGGTTCAAATGTCTTTTCTAGTGTATAATAATTAGTATTCACACGAATGTATAATAATTAAAAGCCACAACACATGAGGAAGAATTTTAAGACAATTGATTTTTCCTTGATAATTAGGAATAAGTATTATACCAATATTTAATTGACAATTTATGAATTATTGCATAACTAATATCTCTGAAGTTCCCAGTCGTATTTGAACATTTGGCAACTGTGCTATGGTCTAGTCTCACTCATGAAATCGTGACATCAGTTTTCACTCGCGGTAAATTTTTAGTAGTTTGAAAATTACCGTGGCATTATTGGTGATTTTAGCACCTCAAAATCGACCGAAAAATTCTGAAAAAATATGAAATTGAAAGGTATTTGAGTGACGATTCTATTTTGGAAATAACAAAAAAATAGTCCAACCGCCTATTGGAACATTATTTTTGTCAGATGGGAAGAACGAATAGTTTCTTCAAGGCGTCAAATGAAGAATTCATCTCAATGACTACTACTTGTGAGTACGGGATTGGCAAACCCGAGGTATATACCCTAGCCGCGGATACTCATCAATTTTCAACTTGTCTTGGATTTTATTCGCTGTTAGTTTACCTACCTTGGTCTCAACTCTTATTCCGTGGTATATTCATAGATAATTGTTTTCAGGTTTGCTCAACTCTCCCCTACTTGCACCCCCCTCCTACTTCCACATTCTTCAAATAGTTTTATCAACTATTGTTACATATCTATGCTCATTGTCAATATTTGATGTTTTGTCCCTTACATTGACTTTGACTCATGTCAACGTCTTGTCTACATCATTATTTGACATTATTTTCAGTGTTTTATAGCCCCATTAGTTCAGATTCAAACACGTGCTGGCTGTTTGCCCCATCAATTTTATTGATATTCTCCTCAAGAAGCGCTTTCATAAGGGCACGGAAAAACCCCTTTTTTTAAAAACCCATTGATTCATGGTGTTGTCAAAAAAACTGTTTGGCAATTAGCCTCCCTATATCATTTTGCTCTATGAAATTTCGATAATATGAATTTTCTGCGCTCTTAGAGCACGGGGTCCTCCATTTATTGAGAACCCGTTTTTCCTTTATAAACTCGATTTTTCGACTATATATATGGGCATTTTCACAACTAGTAGCAATTTCACAACTAGTAGCATCACATTTTTTCAACTCCAAGGAAGTCGAGAACAAATAAATGCAATTCTTTCACATCAATCTTTTTGTATAGTAGAAATTTCATTTGGGCTGAAGATGGTCTTTTATAAGACCAAAATATATCCCTTCTGAATGTACTTATAACAACACCATTAAAATTTGTGGAGATGACTTAGAGCATTCCTTCCTTTCTTTGAATACCACTCGATCTGCACTTAGAAAAAACTTGAGTTATCATAATTGGAAATCTGATAGCCGTTATTACGATATCTGCAATAAATAGGGGACAGATGTGTTCATTTCCTACCATAGATGAAGTGAATTTTCAGTTGGCTTGTAGTTATGCAGCATATTCAATTTGCAAACTTGTATAAACACCGCTGCTGAATAACTACAACTTGTTCTAGTTTCTATGATAACACAAAGTGTCGAATAGAAATCATTCTTATATAAATATTGCAGTTACTCATCCACTCTACAGTGGTTATTTGACTATCGTCATAAAACAGCCTGTTTTCATTACTAGCACAACCATCCTGTGGAAGTATTCCCAACAACATATAATCTCCAGAAGTTCAAAAAAAATTCCAATACCTCCTGTCCCTATCCTCCCTAGGAACGCACGATGTTCTTTGAACATTATAGGGATTTCCTTTCGTGCGCTCCAAGCGAAACAAAAAGAAAAAGAAAAAGAAAAAAAAAGGTTACGCAGTAATTCGTCTCATTTTATTATAGTTATATGATATCTGAATGAAATCTGACATTTTGACATGCTATTGTAATATAGCTCATTTTCAACAGTTATCCCAATATTTTTCTACTCTACCAAACAGTGGTTAGGTTATCTAATCAACATTGTAAGATGTTATATGCATTATATGCACTTTTTTCATTGCAGTAATGCAATGCACGGTGTTTTTCACAGCTCGGCTCACAGCCAGCACTTTAACAAAATTTTGCTATATCACACACCTTCACCCACAAGACACGGCTCTATCGATTCGAACGATCGAAACCATTGAACAATAATTGAACACGGGCACCCATGACAGAGAACAGAAGTGAAAATGAACGCGATCTGTAGCTTTGTCAACCCCAGAACTAATGAAAAACTAGAGCGAAATTATTAGCCGAATTATGATTGGCGAATGATTTCTAATAACCGTCATACATGTGAATTGCTATAGTTATTAGTCAACGTACAATACTAGAAACCCCAAACAGCTATGATTATTGGGACAAACATTATCCGAATTCTCCGATAGGCATAATTCACAAAACGAGCTACGTCAATAAGAAATCTAAATAGACTAGAATTTATAAAATTCTCATAATGTCATAACATACCTGCGTTATGATGGTAGCACATGCCCATTCAAGGGTATTACAAATGGTTTAAGAAAGCGATTTTAATAATTATTACAGAATGGAGAGAATACTGTTGTTATAATAAAATGATCAGGAATAGAATATTTCTTCATAGTGGTTATTACAATTAGAGCTGGTATAGATTCGTGGTGTTGCGCGGCAACAAAATTTCGTGAACAATGAAGCGACAGAATTATCTCGAATATTCAGATCATCGTGATATCAATCATGAGAATTCTGCCGAACCCTCATGATTCATGAATTTTCTCATGTTTCCACTTACATTTCGCTTGAGAACACCGCATCTGCTGAAATCCAAGATCCTCAGGCTGTACTTGACTCCGGCTGGGTCGTTCGGCTCCGGCCGGATCTGGCACGCGGAGTCCTTCTCTGGATCCACCTCTCGGTCGTCGGCGAACATCGGGTCTCCTTTGAAGCCTGTCGGCTTTTTCAGTTTGGCCACTATCGAATCTCTGGAGCCCACGTTGCTGGGATTCGAGAACGTGCACTGGATTTCCGTTACTATAAGAGAATATTGGTCAAATTGACATTCACAACTTGAATCAGAAAAGAGATACAAATGAAATTAGAAATTCATTTCATATGTACGTGGATACGGAAATGCATAGTTTTCAACATACAGTGTGTTAAAAACTTTTAAAAAAGATCGGTTTCTTATTAATATCTCAAATTTTTTTTTATCGCTTGGAGCGCACGAATGGGAATTCCCATAATGTTCAAAGAACATCGTGCGTTCCTAGGGAGAAAAGGGACAGGAGGTAGGTATTGGGATTTTTTTGAAATCCTGTCCTTCTACCGATTTTCTTGAAATTTGACAATGATAATTATGTCATGTCATGTCTGTCATGAGAGGCTGATAAAGCCATAATTCAATTGGAATTATGAAATCCAGTGGCGTCCAGATGGGCAACCTACCGAATATTATTGTCAATAAAATGTGCGCCACTGATTTTTTGAATTCTGTATCTTCATAACCTATTGACCAACTATACCTTTTCAACTTCAATTTCGGAATCGGTGAGTTATATTTCGGAAAAAGTAATCTCGATTTCAGAATTGGTTAGTTCGATTTCAGAAATAGTAAACGTAATTTCAGAATCGGTGAGATGAATTTCAGAAAAAGTCCATTCAATTTCAGAAATGGTAAGTTTCATTTCAGAATTGGTAGGTTCAATTTCAGAAGATGAATCCTTATATATGTTTGAAATGTTCTCAATTGCAAAAGAGAAGATTGTTTAATGGACATCCTGCAGATACCATAGTGGTAGTTCTGGATAATGCACCTGCACATTCAAAAATAAAAGAGATATGCATTGAGGAATGTTACATTTGCAGATTGGCACCTTACAGCCCTATGTTGAATTCGATTGAACATATATGGAGTGCCTTCAAGTCAGAAGTGAAGAGCTTTTTCAAGAGCATCGCCAAAGGGTCATAGCTGGGGATCCGAACAGATTGCTCAACCAGATAGAATTCAGACTGCGATGTCTTGAAGAATGTGCAGATCATTCAATGAAAATGATAACACCTCAAATGTGTTTGCATTCTTATAATCATGTGCAACGCTACTATATCCTTCTGCGATTCGGATGGAAGACATCTGTGGATTAAATTGAGATTATAATTATATTATTGAATGGTTTTTGAACAGTTAAATATTGTAATATGGTTTGTTAATCACACATGCAATTGGAAATATTTCAAACAGACAAAAGGATTTATTTTCTGAAATTGAACCTACAAATTCTGAAATACAACTTACCATTTCTGAAATTGAATGGACTTTATCTGAAATTCAACTCACCGATTCTAAAATTGAGTTTACCATTTCTGAAATCGAAGTAACCAATTTCGAAATCGAGATTACTTTTTCCGAAATATAAGTTACCGATTCCGAAATTGAAGTTAAAAAGGTATAGAAATACAACATTTCGGTCTCTCGAATTGTTTTGCTATTTTGCTTCGTTTCCGTGAAAAAAAATAAATACCAATTCATTGTATGAATGTGTGCAAAATATTTCTTCAAAAACAGGGGTGAAATCAAATGTGTGATCCATGTCCATAGACGTAGAATAAGAATGAAGATTCATTTTCTTCAAATATTTTATAATACATGTTTGACACACTCTATACACTCTGTATATTGAGAACTATGTATTCTCGGTCCAGGAAGGCGTAGTTTTCGATAAGACAAACTATGTCGTATCATAAAATATTTGGAGAAAATTAATCTGCATTCTTATTCTTACGTCTATGGACATGGATCACACATTCAATTTCACCCCTGTTTTATGTTTTGCACAAATTTATTCAATGAATTGGTATTTATTTTTTTCCACGGAAACGCGGCAAAATTGCGAAACAATTCAAGAGACCAAAATGTTGTATTTTCAGTTAATCATTTGGATATGGAGATAAAGAATTTGAAAAAATCAGTGGCGCACATTTTATTGACAATAATATTCGGTAGGGTGCCCCCGGGACGCCACTGGATTTCACGATTTTAATTCAATCATGGTCAAATTAGCCCATCATGACGAAGAATATCATTGCCAAATTTCAAGAGAATCGGTGGAAGTATAGTTGAGATTTTCATAAAAAAACGATTTTTCAAAAAAGGTTAAAACACTGTATCTTGAAAACTATGCATTTTCAGACCCAAGTATATATATTATTCCAAATTTTTTTGGATTTTCTCTCCTCGTTTCTATAAAATAAAAATATGAATATTATTTCAATATACGTGTATATGGACAAATCAGATGATTTGCCCCAAAATGTCACTGCGTTTAAAGAATTTTCTTATCAGAGAGCCTAAAAGAAAAATTCACCAGCTTGTCAGTGACAATTTGTATTGAAAAAAGTTTGGAGAAGAGAAATAAAGGTATATATGAAATAAATTTCTTTTTTTTCTCATGCAGAATCACCCCCTTGATTTTTTGAGCATAATTTCCGGACACCCTGTATATCAAATAAGCGAAGGTATCTCTCAGAGAGTTTATGGAACCTTTCCACAGGTGATTCTAATCCTTCAGGTTGGGAAAGTGAGATATATAAAAGTTAGGCAAGCCAAGGTTAGTTTATTTCATTGTACTAGTATTTCACCTGATGAAGCTACTGTGTTTGCGAAACATGTCGTGTGATTGAGAATCTTGTGAAAATCTGATATTTTGTGAAGTTTTTACAAATAATGATAGGTTCTATAGCTAGTGGTGAAAAAACAATGTTTACTTAGTATAGCAGTAGAAATATTCATTCGAGAATATGTGGTTGGTTTTTGTGAAGACCTTTTAGTCACACCCTGTATGTTATAGATCTTCTGATCTCAAAAATCGTCGACATTATACTACTAAGCTTGTTTCAAGTACTTTACCTTCGTAATCCTGTGATGATACGACGGCCTGAAACAAAAAAAATAACATTAGAATAAATATATATAATATTGCTTTCGAATAATCTTTTTTTTTAACAAGAATGATTTCAGATATATGAGTATTTACTGATGAAGTCATGATGATTTCTAGGGTAACCATATGTTCAGCTCCAAGGACTTCTTCACAAACTACCATCATACGGCTTACCACCTCAGCTATAGCTTCTGGACTTTTTTTTCCAGATTGATCGCTCCATGTGGTATTGGGCGGAGTATTGTCTGATACCATAACCATATTTCGTACGACAAAACTGGCTCAAAAATTACTCAAACCCAAACATCCAGAAAAAAAATTTATCCTGGCGCCAAATTAGTCCGTCTACATCCCTTAATAAAAAAATACAGTATTATGAGAATTCCCTGTATCTTTATCTATCTAACTCTATTAGAGGTTTATTCTACTATAGGTGAGCTTCTAACAAATGCTGAAATCCACAGTTATCCTTCTAGGGCTTCAAAAGCATTCAGACCTCCCAACAGTGCCGGATTTAGGGGGGGGGGGGCTATGGGACTATCAGCCCCCGGCGGTGAATTTCAAGAGGCGGTAGAGAAAAAGAAAAAAGAGGAAAAGCAAGCAGCAATACAGTCATTGACTGGTTGAGATACTGTTTTTGTGAAAATCATAAAATGCACTAATCTGGCGTCAGTTGTTTCTTGGACGCTACAATACAAAAGCGGCGGCGGTACATACTTTTATATGATGATGTGAAGAAAAACCGCCTTCGACCCAGTAGAGTAGGGGTATTTCGTGATTCGTCTAACTCAATAACAAAAAACAAAATCAAAGTCCAGTATTTAATAGGTTGTCGTTGGTAATGGTACTGATAATAAATATTGAAACTGAAATTTGAAAAAAATGCGTAAAAAAGAAGGTGGTGTATTCTGGAAACGACACAAGATCAATAAACAAAAGCAGTTAGACGAAATTGTCAAGAAATGCTCTAAAATACATTCATTTTTTCTTAATTCAAATGAGACAGAATCAGAACTGACAGAATAACCGTCTCCGAGAACCTCACGATCTCAAGACGGGAATGGTAAGTTTTATATTTTTTTACATTCAATACGCGAAAAAGAAGAGTTAGAATCTCAAAAATAAATGATCGAAATATGAACACGACTAGGTGTTTTTTTAGGGATAATCACAATAAACTCCTAATTCATTGATTATGGGCAATTACTTAGAATTTTTTTACTATCCCTGATGATTAGTAATGCCAGTAGTGAAAGGTCATCCTCAACTTTAAAAAGAGTGAAAAACTTACTTAGGAATTCCATGGTAGAGGATATATTGAATATCTTATCATTTTCAAATATTAACAGTGACATGTTATTAAATCTGAATTTTGATGATGCCACTGACGACTTTGCATCAAAAAAATCAAGAAAAGTATTTCAGTATTCATCTGAAAAAAAATATTTGTTGTTTGTTCTTATGCTTAACGTGTGAAGTAAATATAATTTGATTCGTTGTAAAAAATGATTTCATGTTATTGTTATATGCTGTTAAAGAAGTAGTATTTGAATTTTGAAACTGATAATTGAAAATTAAATATTTGGCGGCGGCGCGGCGGCATCGTAAAAGTTAGCCCCCGCCATAAGGGAGTATAAATCCGGCACTGCCTCCCAAATGTGCTATCAGTCTCTCAGTAAAACTCCTTGCAAATACACTTATTCAACAAACTACTAGCGCAAATTGAAACATTAACATTCAACCAGTTTAAAATATGCATAAAAAATTATCTGTTGGCTCACTGTTTTCACTCTATTGAAGAATTTATCAATCAAAATCTTGACTCGATGATATTCACCCCTAACACTTATAATTCAAAATAAGATTCATATGTGTTGTGGTTTCTCTCTCAATGTGTATATATTTATATACAGGGTGATTCATTAAGAATGGGAAATCTCTGAACTACAGAAAGTGAACACAAAAATAATGAGATTTAGCCCAATATGCCTGATGTGAATGTTGCTCTGGTTTAGGAGATACAGGGTGTTCTAGGGGGAGATTTTATTTCACAATTTCACAATAACAATAACAGTTTTAACAGCAGGGTTGGGAACATTTCAAAATGTGTAGTTTCATTGACAAATAATATTCACCAAGTCTCGTATCTTTTGCTCAATATACAGAGAAAATAAAAAAAAAAAAGTTTTCTCTTCAATTTTCGGAGGGGTGTTACTTTTTCGGGGAGAGGTTCATCAACAAAATTCATACCAAATACCCACCTTCATTTTCATCACTGAAGCATCCCTTGATGGGATTACCACTTTTTGAAATGTGTCGACCCGGAGATTGTGATACATTTTAGGAGCCCCATGAAAATATATACAGGGTGTTTCATTACTAATTGAGAATATTTCAACCATAGATTCCCGAACTCAAAATATGGAGATTTAACCCAAATCGCCTAAATAAAATATGTCTCCTGTCTGAGTTACAGGGTGTTTTATTCAAAAATTTTGAAATGATTTCTGCCCAGTTCTTCAAAACAATTTGACGTATCACTTTCATATTTGAAGGTAAGTGTAGGTATTTTACATCCAACTGAATTATGTGAAATGAACTTTTCTAGCTATTACCAGAGGCGTCCGACAGGGGCAAGTGACAGGTTGATCCTTCCCAAATTCTACGCCACTGGCGGAATTACAATTTCATCAGAATTTCTCGATTCTTCAATACCTTCTTCGTGAATATTGTACTCTCTCTTCATAGCGATAAAGTCATTATTTTTCGAGATATTTCAAGGTAAACATCACAATTATTTTGATTTTGATGTGTATCAATAATGTCGATATTTTGGATCAATGGACTGCATTCATCAATCGAATGAAACTCCAATCCATATCAACATAAAAACATAACAGACGGGAGCTGTTACAGGGCGTTTTAAATTTCTTAATATATTGCATAATTAAACACCCTGTAACAGCTCCTGTCTGGTATGTAATTATGTTTTTATTGTTAATATGGATTGAAGTTTCATTTCATTGATGAATACAATCCATTGATCCAAAATATTGACAAAATTAATGCACATTGAAATCAAAATGATTGTGCAGATTTATGTTTAACTCTCGAAAAATAATGACTTTATCGCCATGGAGAAGGAGTACAATATCTACGTCAAAATTGTTGGAGAATCGAAAACTTGCGATAGAATTGCAATTCTGCCAGTGGCGTAGAATTTGGGAGGGATCAACCAGTTGATTGCCCCTGTCGTACGCCTCTGGTAATAGGTAGAAAAGTTCATTTCATATAATTCAGTAGGATGTATTATACCTACATTTCCCTCTGAATATGAAAGTGATACGTCTAATAGGTTTGAAGAAGGGGGGAAAAACCATTTCAAAATTTTTGAATAAAACACCCTGTAACTCAGACAGGAGACATATTTTATCTAGGTGATTTGGGTTGAATCTTCATATTTTGAGTTCGGGATTCAACGGTTGAAATATTTCTCATTTCCCCTGTATAAATATAAATGATAACATATGGCACGGAGGGCAAATTTATTTTTATTCAAAGTTGAATAAATTTAAATTGATAGTTATTCATTATACAAGAGTATACAAAAGTAGTAGATTTTAGATCGAGGTTGTGTTGAGAAAAACCGTGAACTAAAATCTAATATTTTTCCCGTACAATAGTATAATACACTATTTTTTTCTGTGACAGGAAAAAAGGGGAATCAATATTGAGAAGATATTACATTACATTGAAATCAGAAAATTATCGAGCAGGCATTTTTATCATTCTTTTGAAGTAACCACGAAGTAGAATGGAAGATAAATGGACTTGCAGTTCTTTCTTGCAGACGTTGTTATTGGCTTATTTTTTGAAACAACAAAAGCCATCAATGACATTTTATAACCTGTCAACAAAGATGTAATGTCAAACTTTTTTCCTGTCACAGAAAAAAGTTTACCAATATCATGCAATTCGAACATATAAATTCAAATTCAAACATTGAAATGTCAATGGAGATATTTCCAAAGTAAATGAAGATCTTCCCAATGAAAACAACAAACTGATAGAATTCAATGTCATCAAAACTCAAGCCTGCGTTTTCTCTAAATGTCTGAATAATATAGTCTGGTACCATTATTTCCACCGCCTCTATGCCAGTCAGACAAACGCGGCAAGTTCAGTCAGCACATTCTTCTGTCGTTATCTGCGAAATGTGTCGAACAACTCTTTATCCAAACTCGTTTGTCAATAGAACGGTGTATAGCTTCGCAATTCTTTGCCAAAGCAAGTATTCCCAAGAACTACCAACTTTTTATCTACCTATCCTCCCAAGGAATGTACAAACGATGCGCTCCAATAGATAAAAAAGAACTGAAATTGCCTATTGTTGAAATCGAGTATGCCATTCAATTCTAATCGATATATCCGCCGCTCTCAATCAAGTGATCAATTCCTCTCGGATCATGAACAACGCACTCATCAGTGTATTATTCGAGCACAATGATCATAAGAATAAAAAAAGATGAAGCAGCAAAAAACCCTCAAGAACAATAGCCGACCTACATACTCCAACAACAGAAGATATAAAATGGGTATTCAATTGTAAATTGCAAATAACAATGGTTGCTTCAAATGTCGAGTGCCACCATAGACCACAGTTAGCTCTCAAATGTACTATTCTTCATTCTTTAGTTTTTTATTTTGCCTTGTCATTGGAAGTGAATCAAAATTGACTTTTAATTGTGGATGTCAAGTAACACACTTTCTGCCACGATGACTATAGCGATTTCATTGTAGGTATTTAATGGACTAGATGGAACTAAAAGTAGGTATTCTTCATTTATTTATTCTTTATTTACGAATAGGAATACAAACGGGACTAATCCAAAAGCAGTATTCGTATAGGTAATATCCCGAGACCATGACAAATAGCCGACTATTATTTTCTTCATAATTCTATCGAGAGTAACTTGTATTTTGACAATTTGATG